TCACTCAGATGGTGGATCACAACTATCTGTAAGTTCAGTCCAAGAGGATCCAACAACCTCTTATGGCCTCTGTGGAAGGAGGTCTGAGGAAGAGCGGGGGAAAGCTCTCTTGCTGGCGGGACTCGGACAGGAGAGCATCCGGTGGAACTTGCTGGTGTTCATCTGTCTAGGTTGTAAGTTATTTCTCCCTGAATAAACATCTATTTGGCCTATTTGTTTATCCTGATCCTTATTTAACCGCAATATCTGGTGTCAGAACAGGAACTGCACACACGTGGTGCACAGACATCTACAGAAACAAAATATCATACACATAAAATAAAAATACATAATTTTTCAAGTGGGGGGTGGGCTGACAAGATGGCTTAACAGGTAAAGGCACATGCCACCAAGCCTAAAAACCTGAGTTCAATTCCTGTGACCCACATGGTAGGAGAAAACTAACTCCTGCAAGTTGTCTTCTAGTCTCTCCAGTCACATGTACACACACACATACATACAATAAATATGTAACTAAGTACATAAATATAATTAAAATGGGTGCAAATTTTCTTCATTAATGAATTTAGATCTAGCCTCCATCCAAAAATAGTCTGGAGTCAGCATTAGGGGAAGTTAAAATTAAAGAAACAATAAATGTGAGAGACTTTTCAAATTACAAGCAGCTAAAGGTATTGGGTCAACAGCAGCAATATATGCCACTTACAGTTGAAATGAGATAATCATAGTTGGATGCCTGTAACAGGACCTTAATGCAGGTAATTACAGGGTTACTACATTTGAGAATAACATCTACCTATTTTTTTTTTTTTTTTTTTTTAAGTTTTCTCAAGACAGGGTTTCTCTGTGTAACAGCCCTAGCTATCCTGAAACTTGCTTTGTAGCCCAGGCTGGCCTCAAACTCATAGATACACCTGTCTCTGATTTCTGAGTCCTGGGATTAAAGGTGTGCACCGCCATGCCTGGCACAGCCTAATATAATTTTTTTTTTTTAAAGAAATCACTAAAAGGAACACAGAGGAAATAATGAAGAGGCAAGGACAGCTTCAGAGGTGTGTTGCTAGGATGGCCACATACTACACTGATGATACAGGCCTCTAAAAAAGCATTCAGGAATAAAAGATAAGCTCCAAGTGGTAGTATGCTGGAGCTGGCTTCTATGGGCTCACAAGAGCCCTCTGTTAAATGTTTAGGAATCCTACAAGCCAGCTAAACAAAGACTTCATTAAAAATTAGACTTGTAAGTAATGTTCAAGAAAACTGTCATCAGCACTCAACGCACCACTTCCCATGTCACACCATTTACTATTATCTGTGCTTGCTTATCCGTGGGGAAATACAATGTACTATACTAGTTGCTGCCTCCAAGCTCCATGCTACACCATCCTGTTAGCAGTGTGAAGTCAGGCATCGTGAGGCAATCATTATTGATCAGAGTCAATATTGTTGTCTCAAAGAGACAGCAGACTATGCGTGAGGCTAGCGAAAGTAAAATTGAGAAAATTACTAAGATTTGAAGACAATGTTGAAATTTACTAAAGGAAAGAGATGGGCAGCCAGTAAAAAGATGAGCAAATTAGAAGATCAAGGAGACTAATGTGCAAATAAGGAGCTCTAAAGAGTCTGAAAAATGGGGGTGAGGTGAAGTTGTGAAATCAGTAATTCAAGAAAGTTTACCGCAGCAGGACAGTTGTGGGCTGAAATGGTACGGAACACTGCAGAACACAGGAGAAGCAAAAGCTAGGTAGTGCTGCAGAGCATGCACTGCTGAGCACTGAGAGGGCCTCAGTGCACGGGAGGCGGGCAGAGTCAGTTTAGGAAACTACAATTGGAGTGGCACCTGACGTCACAGTAACACCAAGCTCTGTTGCTCTTACAAGTCAGGGACAATTAGCAGTAAGACACTTTTATAGAAACTAGAAATTTTCCAGTTCTCTATTATAATCAGCAGTGAGAGCTAGAAAAGGACATTTTCCAAGACTTATTTCCACCTACACTAAGTTCCAGCCCAGCCGGTGCTACAAAGAGACCCTGTTTCAAAGCAAACAGATCCCCCATTTTTCCTACTACTCTTCAATTTGAGTATGCCACCATTAGTTTCTGGCCAGGAAAATGTGACATGCTCTTGTCTTGTGCACCAAGACTAAGGACTTTAGATCACACTAAAAGAGTTAGGCCATTAACTGGGAGGTAGTAGGTTATGGGTTTATGACTTTTGTTGACATTATATTTTAGGGGAGGATCAGAAGACAACTCCAGGAGTCAGTTCTCACCTTCCAGCATATGGTACTCAGACTTGGTGGCAAGTGTCTTAGTGTCTTTTCCCATCAAGAAGTCTCACCAGCTCCACCCTGAAAAATTCAAGGGTAGTACTTTTTAAGATTAAAAAAAAAAAATGTGTGTATGAGCAGTACTTAAGAAAATGTGTGTGTGTGCACGAGCATTCACACGCGGTACTTTTTAAGATTTGAACTGCAGATAGGTGGTTATGAGCTGCCTGATCAGACTGCTGGAAAGCAAACTCCTGAAAGTAAGTGATCAATTGCTAAGCCATCATCCAGCTGCTTGTCTGTGACTTGTTACTTTTTTTGAGAAAGGGTCTTATTATGTAGCCTTGGCTGACCTGGAATTCACTACATGGATCAGGCTGGTCTCAAATTCAGAGATTCACCTGCCTCTGTCTCCTGGTTTATGACTGAAAATGTTACATGGTGAGACCAACAATCCTATGTAGAAATGGAAAACAAAGGAGAATGACCCAACAGCTCAAAGACCAGCTAGCATGAGTGCTCAATATAGGGGCAAGAAATAAAGAGATCCTGACCCACCTGGTCTACAGATGGAGTTCTAGGAATACACAGCAAAACCATGACTCTAAAACAGAGCATGCATTGTGGGGAAACAAAAGATAACAAACACTAAATACCAGTGAACTGTTCACTTAAATAGTTCAATAAAGTATGACAACCTAGAAATAAAAACCTTGGAAATGGTTATCTTCTTCATGAACCTGGAGCTTATATATAAACAGACTACTTTCTATTGGAGGTAGGGGGTGGCAGAGCATTCTTTTAATCCCAGCACTCAGGAGACACAGGCAAGTGGACTGGTCTACAGAGTAAGTTCTAGGACAGCCAGAGCTGTAGAGAAAAAAGAATACAAGAAACCAAAACAAACCGTTTTATTTCTTGTCTAATGCAAATAGCAGATATGAGTTGCTTCAATTTTTTTTTTCAAAAGGAATGCAACTTTTGAGAACATGCAAATTCCAGATCCTCACAGGAACAGACTTGGACAAATAACAGTTTTCAACTGTCAAAGTAGTAGATATTACAAATACAAAATGCTTTTGAAGAATAAATCTATTTGATTCCAGCACTCAGAAAGCAGAGAGAGGTGAAGCTGTAAATTTAAGACCAGCCTGGTCTTCATGAAGTTCCAGGCCAGCTTATGGGAGGTGCAAAAACACTTTTGAGACAAGGTCACATTGTGTAGTGCTGACTGGCCTTGAAGTCATTTGTCAGCCTACCTCCCAAATCCTGAGATTAAAATGTACATTTGTTTTCTGAGGCAGGGTTTCTTTGTGTGGCTTTGGAGCCTGTCCTGGAACTTTGCAGACCAGGCTGGCCTCAAACTCACGAGAGTCAGCCTGTGTCTCCTGAGTGCTGGGATTAAAAGAGTGCACTACCAACCCTTGGTTAAAATGTACTTTTAAAAACTGCTTTGTTCTGCTTAAAAAAGAATAAAATGCTGTTATTTGGGATATAGACCTAGGGGGTATTTTAAGTGAAGTAACCTAAGAAAAGTAATTTATGTGGTCTGAACATTCCAGGAATAATTAATCAATTCCAAAACCTAATGTTGGTAGACTCAGGAGTGTCTTTAATCCCAGTACTCAGAAGGGAGAGGCAGGCAGATTTGGAAGTTCCTGGCCAGGCAGGGTTTTCAGGACGGAAAAAAAAAAAAAAAAATAACACATGCTATTTCAAGTATGTGACTAAATCTTACTGTCCTGCTCTGAACACAGGATCCTCTTGTTCAGAGCATCTATGCGGCACATCTTTTATTCACTTGGTAGCTTATCCACTATCATGCTTATCTCCACATTAAAGCAACTCTTACATGCTAGAGTTATTTATCACAATACCTAGACTGACCCCTCCCTTCATCCCATTTTGTTACAAGGATGACAAGTGCTGACAGATTTTTAAACAGCACATGCTGTTAATTCAAAGAATAACTTGTAGTTTTTTCCTTCTATCAATAGGTTCCCAGGAATTGAACTCAGGTTGTCAGGCTTGGTGTCAGGTGCCCTAACCTGCTAAACTATACCATAGGCCCTGAGGCTAAATATTTTATTACAACAAGGTTATTGTTTTAGCAACATGCTCGACCTACAATAATTTGAGAATTTTACCTCCTAAATAGTCTCAAAGTGCCAGGGCTATTTCTGAAAGTGAATTTTTACTCCATCCTGTTGTCTAAACTCAAAGGGCTGAATGACAAAAATAAAAAATTGAATTTTGTTGGCCTGCCAGTAAGATTACAAACATATACTATACATATTACAATATACAAATACAGGTTAGTTGTCTGAGGCAAGGTACTTGGTGTAACCCTGGCTATCCTGGAACTCACTCTGTACACCAGGCTGCCTGGGAACTGAGATCCACCTGCATCTGTCCAGTTACATATATTTATATACTAAAAGACAGGTAGGTAGTTAAGAGCACTGGCTGCTTCAGTTCCCAGAACCAATAAAGCAGCTCATAACCTTCTCTAACTCCAATCCCACGGGACCCAACCACTTCTGGTCTCTGGAAGCACTGCACGACTGTGATGCCACCATACATGCACATCAAACCACCCGTACATACTAACAATCCACCAGTCTTTAAAACCAGCTGGAGTAGTAGTTTAACTTTGCCAAAGCACTTCCCTATCAAAAAAAGATCAACACATTTGCATCACCGACAGAGAAAAGAAACACAAAACAAGAATTTATTCAAAGTGATTTTATTGCTTGTGTACACAAGAGAATTTATGCCACTAGAGCAGAGGCTGTGGATGACTCACTGGAAAAAAGAAAATGAAAACTGAGATTAGTACTGGTTTTTGGGATTTACTTACAACTACCTTTGCTACTTGAGTTATTCCCAAACAGCTAAAATACCTAACTGCATACAATGCACCAAACTGAGTGAGCACCCAAAAGTTCAGATTTAAACAGGAGGATGAATGGCAATGTTCCATCAGACATCTAAGGAAGAACTGGTCAACATGAAGAAATACCTATCTGTTAGAAACACTGCCATTTGATTATATCACTCATGCATGCTTTCCCACTACTATGACAGTAAGCTGAAATGGCACTTAACGATAGGACCCAGAAAGTATCTACCATGAAGTCCTTTATTATGTCCACTACCATGTTATTTATCACCTGGCTGACTGCCACAAAGAAAAGCGCATATACTTACTATTTCCAATTGGGTGGGAGGACACGCTTAGTCTTATAGTAGCGAGCCAGCCGGTGAATTCTGCTCTCTATCAGAATCAGGCGGAATTTAGCATCCTTATCCTAAAGAGAATTAAGAAAGCCACCAAAAAAGTAACTCAATACCTTTCATGGTTAGATCCTTAAGGCTTATACAGGGTATACAGTCCTGGTGATCTTATAACTTGCTAGACTAGTCTGGTCTCAACTTAGATCCACTGGCCTTGCAGAGACAACAGGCATGCATTACCAAACCCATACAGGCAATACGAGGTTCTAGAATAAGGCCTTTAGGAATGGCCACAAAATTACAAAAGAGAACCCAATATTGGAAGCAACTGGATATCATGTCTAGGGGAGCTAAAGACCAAACTACCCATTTTTAAGGAAATCACAATGTTGACTATTTAGTACCTAAAGAATTAAGTCCTCAAGACCAGTACAAGCATTGCTACATAACACCAAGTTTGTTTCCTCACCTTCCTGTTCCTCTCAAGATGCTTTCGGACAGCAACAGCTTTCTTAATCAAATGGTAGAGATCCTCAGGGAGGTCAGGGGCAAGGCCTTTGGACTTCAGGATCCTCAAGATTTTATTACCAGTCACAAATCGGACCTGTGCCACCCCATGTGAGTCCCTCAGGATCACACCTGAAAAAACCATGTAACTTACAACACAAACTTGAGCATGTGATAAAGTCCCAATATTTAGCAAGACTCTTCAAACTTCCTGCAAATAGTCAACCTAAGTGCTTGCAAGCTCACTCAGACATCCAAGGAAAGTCTACCCAACACAGAGGAGGCCCTTCTGGTGGAAACTGTGAATGTTGGATCATCATCATCACAGTGAGTCTGTTAGAACACAGCTGACCAAAGGAATCAATGAGATTTCTACCTTTGAATTTGGTCTTAACTAAAACCAGCTTAACTGTGTATGTTATTCCTTTTAAACCTTAAATTACTACTGATTGGCCGAGTCCACTTCAATTCTTTTTTCATATCTGTAGTTAATTCTAAGTATTAACGAGGATGTTTGCCTAGGCCCCAAAACCATATTAAGAAATAAGTTATTTGCCATCTGTACAGTCACAGCACTTTTAGAGTCAATTCACAGCTAGGTAGATGGGACTCCCAGATGCTCCTCGTTTAGCTGTGGAAGCAGGGAAAACGCGTTTTCAACACAGGGTCTAGACACATTGTCTTTCCAGATCACATGAGAGCAGAAGTTGAGACTGCCAACACTCACCTATTTGAGAAGGGGTCAGGCCTTTCTTGGCCAGTTTGTAAATCTGTTCCTTCACGTCGTCAGACGTCAGCTTCAGCCACTGGACATGGAACAGAAATCGGGCCTCGGCATAAGGAAGCACGACAGCAACCTTCCACCTCGGGCCCCATCCTCACGCACGCTGGTCCCTACTCCGCCCCACGCTGCCCTCCGACCCTCAGCCGCTACTCACCGTGGGGACGCTGCGGCGGTAAGGCAGCGCCGACTGGGACAGGCCCTTCCTGAGAACACAAGCTTAGTGAGTGAAGTGGCTGCCCGCGGCTCAAGCAGCCCTGCCATCTCCCCACCTGCAGCCCACACCGTCCTCTCCTTGCCCCGCGCCCCAGCTCCAGCCCTACAACTCGGGTTGGTGCCGCGGACTCACCCGGGAGCGTGCATGCGACCCATGATGGCGGAGGTCTGGCAGCAAAGAGAAAACGAGGGAGGAAACAACGCAGGAAGCCAAGTCACACGCAGGAAGTGACGTCACGCGCCATGCTTCCGCGGGGCGGGGCCATAAGGCACGGCCGCTGGCGCCCGCGTGACTACGCGTCCCAGAAGGCATTGCGGCTTGACGTCACACCTCATTCATTCGTTGAGTCCGCCTGCCTCCCGCCGTCCCTCTGGCCTGGTTTGTAGACAGGTCCGGAAGTCAGCCACTAACCACTAGCAGTAGAAAGGTGTTTGTGGGACCTCGGACGGGTTGGAGCCCTGGGCTGGAGGACTCGGATAAGCTATGGGGTCAGAGATTCGTCAGGGCTCCGTCACCAGCCCGGACTCGAGCGGTGCGGGTTGAGCGCTGGGTCGAAGAGACCATAGTGCCTCAGCGCAGCCGGCGCCTCCCCTCCTCTCCAGTGTGTTAACCCCAGGCTTTCGAGCCCGGCCTTCGCTGCCAGTGCCTTTGTGGTATGCAGAAACGCAGAGTCCCCAACCCGACTGCGACGATTTAGAGACTAAGAAAGAAGCTTCGAGAAGATGAGGGGGAAGGGTAGTACCTAGGGCGTTGAACTTTTAAGGATGACCTAGTGTCGGTTCACCATGATACGTTCCAAGAATGGGTATATTGAAAACTTGTTAAAAATGCAACAGAAGAGCCTGGCGGTGGTGGCGCACGTCTTTAGTCCCAGCACTAGGGAGGCAAAGACAGGAGGATCTCTTAAGTTCGAGGCCCCCCCTTTAAGTTCCAGGACAGGCTCCAAAGCTATCAGAGAAACCCTGTCTCAAAAAAGAAACAAAAAATCCAACAGAAAACATCAAACGCAAGAACCCGGGAAGGAGGAAACATCTAAAAGACCCTGTTGACAAATGACAGGTGAAAGGTTTAAAACAACACAGTATTGAAACTTTGCCCTTTTTTTTTTTTTTTTTTTTTTTTTTAAGTCAGTGTCTTTGTATGTACTTATTGTCTAGAAACTCGCTTTGTAAACGAGGCTGGCCTCAAACCCGCAGATGTCCTGCCTTCTGCCTCAAGTGGAGACAGTGCTGAGCCACCATGCCTTGTCAAGGCACACTTTTAATCCATCACTAGTTGAATAATGTTTTCCAAAACATTGTGAACTTGAACCAGATTTGTAGTTTTCCTAGCAAAGATATATTTGATTTTTGTTTTGAAGACAGGGTTTCTCTGTGCAGCCTTAGCTGGCCTAGAACTCGATTTGTAACCAGGCTGGCCTCAAATTTAGAGATCCACCTGTCTCTGCCTCGAGAGTGCGGGGATTAAAGGCATCCGGCTGCAAAGATATGTTTGAATAATTAACCAGATTCATACTTTTAGCCCAGATATGTGACCTATATATCAAACTTGGCTACAGTTTGCCATCCCTAAGCCAGAACCCTTCAGTTTAACACAGTTGCCCAAAATATAAATGCAGGGTTCTTTATTCTTTCCCATTTCCATGAGTCACCTCAAACACATCTTACTACAAAAATGTATAGTACATTTACTTGTTTCCAAGGGTATCCCAGTCCTATCCATCATCTTTCAGGAGGCTTAAGTGGTACTCTATTCTATATACAATCCATTGTCAACCTAGTGGTCAGGTAAATGCATTGCTCCTGTGTAAATCCCTCTAATTACAATTCCCACAACCACATGGTGGCTCACAACCAGTGTCAGATGTACTCTTCTGGCATGCAGGCATACATGTACAACAGTCATACATAAAATACAAAGTGTTTAAAAATGTGAACATATAGTATGTAAGAGGAAAACATTATGGAGTCTGTTCAATCTTTTTACCTTTATCTGGCTAAGATTGTCAGTGTACAGCAAGCCTTATTTACTTACTGAGCCATCCTAGGGGCCCTTTGTGTACTTTCTTCAATCCACTTGAAATAAAACTATACCCCTGGCCTCATGTCCTCCCACTCTGCCATTATTTTCAAACGTTTCAGGCACATTTTTGATCCTACACATACCAACATGTTGTCTACCTAAAAAAAAAAATTAAGATTTTTAAAATATGCTCATGAGTATGTGTATGTGTGTGTGTGTGTGTGTGTGTATGTATGTATGTATGTATGTCTTTGCACCACAGTACCTGCAGTGCCCATAAAGGTCAGAAGAGGGTATTAGATCCTTTGGAACTGGAGTTACAGAATTCTTAGTTGCCATGTGGGCGCTTAAAACTGAACCCAAGTCCCCTGCAAGAGCAATAAGCTCTCTTAACCCCTCAACCATCTCTCCAGCTTCTAAGATTTTTAAAAAACTATTACATGCATATATGGCTGTACACGTTGAGTACAGTGCCCAAGAGTTAGAGTCATTAAGTTGTGCCTTTGTACTGGGAACCAAACTCTAGTCCTTTACAACAACAATCCATCTCTCTAGCCCCCTATCTACAATATTATTTGAACTTCAGCACCCCCAAACAGCCTGATAGGAAGTTAGGCAGATACTCAGTTATTTCAAAGAATAAGTCTATCCAAGCCTTCTTTCATGAGCATCATTGAGATTTGGATTTAACTGTCCTTTTAGAATGCTAACTTTTTTTTTTTTTTTTTTTTTTTTTTTGTCACATTGTAAAGTTAGAGAAAAGTTATGCTCATTGTCAGGAATAAAGGTATGGTGTTAAAAATTTGCACTGTTCTGTGAGCTATGCTTAGAATATGGCTGTTGCTCTACTATTACTATTTAAGTGAACTATCAGAGACCAGGAATCATATCAACAGAACATTTCACATCTCAGGAATAGCGATGGGTTGTAGCAAAACAATATGCTTCAAAGAATCACACTCAGCTTTCAATTCAAATTTTCTTCTTAGACATTTTAGGGAAGTCTGATAGACCAGATCTGAAATTCAGGGTTACTAAACTTTATAAACTTCTGGGTGAGATGCAAAGAAGAGTTACAAAACTTTGAAACCAAAATATTAAAACAAGGAAAGAAATGACAACTGAGTTCCTTTATTCCAGAAATATTTTAATATAATTGTGGTATAGTTATTAAGTCACATTCATTCCACTAAATATATTCCAAGTATTAATAAAAATATTATACATCTCACTCACTATGCTGATATAATTAAAGCATTTGGTTCTTAACAGATGACACCAGTAAGCACATCCATATTTGCACTGCTAGTAAATAGTGTGTAAGTAAATGTGTATTATAATAGTAGGGCTTCAGTGTTTTTTAAATCTGAGTTATCAAAGTGATTTTTTTTTAAATGCCACGAATCATGAATCCTAGAAAGAATTTAACAATTTAAGGCAAGTTTTTTGAACTTTTATACAACTTTAATTTGAAAAAAAAAAAAAGTAAAAAAGATATACATGTTTTTTAACAACTTGACTCACGTATACATAGTAATAAAAGGCATTGGTGCCAGCAGTTTTCAGTGGGTCCCTCAGAGAAACCAGGTTCTTGGGATGAACCATCATCTTCAAATTCTACAGCACTGTCAAGAACAAAGAACTCTGGCACAGGACTTGTATGCAGCAGAATTATTTTTACCTGACAAAGGTAAGTTATAAATGTGATTATACAAAAAAATTAGTGTCTTGGCCAGTTTAGAGTTTTATTTTCCAGACTTATTTTAAGGTAAGTGTTAAGAGGTTTTTAGAAAACAAGCTGATTTATAATTGACTGCAGTGATAGTGCAAAGAGGCTACTCTCTTCTCCCTATTCCTATTTTTTGGTATGGGCTGAAGATTAGCATTTTACAAAGAAATAACTTATATTAAAATATATGTGCTCTAATGACCAAAGGAGGCACAGATTGAGTTAAATTAAGAGAAAATATTACCTTTTGCTCTGAATTCTTAACTATACAGTATTAATCACAATATATACTTTTAGATATGAATCAGGTTTCTTGTCACTGAGAAGTGACATTACTTTCTCTAGTTCTATTATTTGTGCTAAGGATGCTGTAACAGATCACAAGAACGTCCACACTGAGTACAATCAATGACAACCTTTTACAAATAGCATCTTTTAAAAAAAGTAAATAGGTGACTTATGGAATGGAATTAAGTCTCCCTCAAAAGAAAAAGAAAATTCTAGTGCTACTTACATCTGCAAAACAACTTAAGGAAATGTTAATTGTGGAAAAAGCAAAAAAATGGTACTTTGATCTTCATTTTAATTAATTTATCAAGTAGACAACATACTTTAATATAAAAAATTCATATACTATACTTAATAGGTTCCCTACAAATGGACCATAGTGTTAGGCACCAAAATTTTCAAGTTTTGATTTCTTTAAAAATCTGTTCCAATGATAACACCCTTGATTCTTCATTTAGCTCTGTAAGCATCATCATTTCTGCTAATCACTATGTATACTTCATAAAAATTTTATTCTAGCAAACTGAGTCAGATTGTCCTCTCTTGGTACCCTTCATTAAGTAGTTTGTCAGTTTTTCATGATTACCAGATTTGCTACATCTCTGTTACCATTCTAAAAATATTTGAACTTCTATTCTAACCATGACATTTATTATATTTACATGTTTACCAAAACAAGACACTGTTATATCTGAAGTGAGAAACTAATAAAAATGAATCTTATTTTAATTGTTATTCCACAATAACTTCAAATTTCTCTAGCATATTTCTGAATTTCCCTGTATTACAGAAAATAATTCTTTCATGTGAATGTACAATGTTTACAAATACAAGACAGTTTACACAACACCTTCCATACATATCTATATTAGAATTCAGTCTGCAGTTTACAGTCCTTATTCTGGGTTTCACACCAAACAAAAATGGGCACAAGGCTGAACAATTTCCATTTGTTTAATGAGAGAGTACAGTATAAATACATGAAAGTGAAACAGCAAGTTCAGTTCACACCCCTGCATGTAAATGTAGGGTTATAGTGGAATGATAGAATTTAGAATACACCTATATCAATGAATCTCATTCAAATACTGAGCAACAAACATTAAATCAAATAGCTTAATAGTTAAAATAAGTCACAAAAAGAAGTAGAGAAAATAGTATTTTTGTGGGAAAACCATTAGTAAGTGTATCTGGTGTTTTGTC